AGCGAGCCAAGAGTAGGCGTTGAGGCCTCCGCGCAGCGCGGTCTGCACGCCCCTCAAGCACGCCAGGCGAAGCTGCGTCCCAATGTCGAGAAGTCCGAAACCGCCCACGGAGACTGGCCTTGCAAGAACGCCGCCCGGCAACCAGGTAGTACGCCGAGGTCCCCAGACAAAGCGCACCAGTCGGGCTTGCAGCTTGGCGATGGTGGAGTCTGTGGGCAGGTAGCCGTGAAGATGGTGCACCACGGCGGACAACACCAGCGAGTTGGCGGCTCTGGCTCGACCGACTAAGGAGAGGCCGCGGGTGAAGGGGACCCACCTCGCCACAGCACTCTCGAGCAGTGCGAGGAGATGTTGTTCCTGGGCGGAGGATGACACTGCAGGTGTTAAGTTGCAGCCCAGTACCCGGATCTGCTCCGATGTCCAGGAGATGCCAAGCTGCGCGTCGGTGCGGGCCCGCCAGGCGCCGCACCATAGGCCTTTACACTTCGCAAAGTTGACGCCTATTCCCGAAGCGCGCCGGAAGTCCTCGAAGATGATTCTCACCACGTCGAAGAGCTCGTCGCGCCTGATGAGCAGCACGATGTCGTCGGCGTAAGCGAGGACGTTTCCGGGGCCGAGCGCACGCTCGAGGCGCACCAGGAGAGGGCCAGTGGCGAGGCTAAACAAAGCGGCGCTGATGGCACAGCCCTGCCTCACCCCGTTCAGCAGATGGAAGGGCTTTGTGTGGAGGGCTCCGGCCCGCACCGCCGCATCCGACCCGGCATACAGGAGGAGGAACCACTCAACGAAGGCAGGAGGCAGCCGCAGAGAGACCATCGCATATGTTTGTTAATAATGCATCCTAAAGGAAATTTTCATCCCAGGGATATTTCATCCTAGGAATATTCAAATTAACCAAGTACTAGACTAATTTACCTATTTTTAGGTAGTAATATGATGAAATATTGCTGTATCATGTTTGATAAGTAAGAACAAAATTCTTTTGAAGATCATTCATTCACTCGCAAGGATTGCGTTGCTTGACAAAAGTGGCAAGACAGGCGCTACAGCAAAGGACTATAGGCCTGTGTCTCTCCTTTCATGTTTGGGAAAAGTACTGGACAGTCTTCTGGCACAAAGACTGACAAGGTGGCTAGAATCTGGCGGACACCTTTCCAGTTCCCAACACGGTTTTAGGAAGGGACGGTCTACGACCACTTGTCTCGAGGAGATTTTGGGCAAGATCGAGAAGGGGATTGCAAAGGGAGACTGGGTGATCGCAATCTCCCTTGACATCTCTGGCGCTTTCGACAACCTAAATTGGAATATGGTTGTACGTGCCCTCGATGAGAAAGGATGTCCCTTTAACCTACTGAATTTAGTAAGGGATTTCTTACGAGACAGGCGGGTCTCAATCAGGGTAGGTGCGGTGGAGATGCACAGAATACTGTCAAAGGGCTGCCATCAGGGTTCCTGCTGCGGTCCCATACTGTGGAATATAGTTGCTGATACTATTCTCCGCAAGGAACTTCCAGTAGGCTCCTATATGGTAGCCTATGCTGACGACAATTACCTTATTATAAGTGAGAAATCCAGAAGAAAAGCCGAGGCTCTGGCCAATGAAAGCATCAGGAGGTTAAAGGTTTGGGCTTAACTGGTGAATCTCGAATTTAACGCGAGCAAAACACAGGCTCTGAATTTTAAATCGCGAGACGTTCGAGTCAAACGGACTGGCGTTGAATATGAACACAACGCCATTTTGCGGCTAGGAGACGAAAGGGTACGAATAGTTAAACAGATGAAAATCCTTGGCGTGGTAGTTAATAATAATTTGAGCTGGATGGACCACGCCAAGGACATAGGGCTGAGGGCTAGGTCTGCACTATCGAGACTATGCAGGCTAGCGCTCCTTAAAGGGGGCAGAGAAGGAGAGATCTTCAGGGGAGTCTCTATCTCAGCTGTGTTGAGCCGATTCTCCTATATGGTTCAAGAGCGTGGTGGAAGAGGAACCGTGACAAGAAGGTCGGAGCAACATTAGAGTCAGTACAGAGAGTAGCGGCCCTGAGGATCACTGGAGGGTACTGTACTACCAGTACAGAGGCCTTGCTGGTGATTTCGGGTCTGACTCCTGTTTCTCTAAGGCTGGAGGAAGAGAAACTGACGCAGCTTATCTGGGTCGACAGGACAAAAAATGAATTGGGCATTTCGTCCGAGGAGCTTGAGTGGGCGAAGGATCCAGATAAGGATGTGGAATGGGAGCCAAGATGGAAGTGGTCTGAGGGCTCACCGTCTGGTGAAGAACTGGAAATATTCACAGACGGGAGCAAATATGGTAAGAGGACTGGGGCTGGCATCGCTATTTTCAGTAACGGCTCGGTAGTGGGCCGACAAACACTGAAACTAAGGCACGATGAGCTAGTGTACTCAGCTGAACTGGTCGCAATCAGAGAACTCTGATCTGGTGCAGGAGAGAAAGTCTGTCTCCCAAGGCAATTTACTCAGATTGCATGTCTGCCCTCGTCTCCATTTCCTTGGAGAAAGGACAGATGGCGCATGAAATTGTGGATCTGCTAAAAGATATGGATAAACCCCCCGAGTTGTACTGGGTAAAGGGGCACTCTCTAATTGAGGGTAACGAATTAGCTGATAAACTGGCAAAAGAGGGATGCTGGTCTGGAAGGGATGTGGTGACCCCAATTCCAAAGAAAGAAACTTATTAGCGTATCCGGGCGCATATAGATGGGTTGTGGAAAAATCGATGGGTAGAATCAATAAACGGTCGTGAGGCGTTCAGAAGGATAAAATCTCCAAAAAGGAACGGTCGAATCCTCTCACACAAACTGAACAGAATGATTACGGGGCACGGCCCGTTTCCTCTCAGTTTGGCGCGATTTGGTATTAAAGCGGACGCCAAATGTGTATGTGGGAGCCCTGGGGCAGGTGCCAAACACTTTATAGTGGAATGCCCGAGGGTCCCCAGAGGGGTGGAGGAAAGTAGTAGGATTAGAGGAGCAACTGAACTGGAACTCCTGAAATCCCACAGGAGGTTATTGGAAAGAGCTCACGATGTCGCTAGTGAGCTCTTCCTCAACTGTTAGATGTAACAGTTGACCACAGTGGATAGCTTGCCGATGATCTGGTAGAGTACTAGTAAGGCTGAAAGGAAGACTGACGATCGAGTGGATCGCAAGGTGGATGGTGAACCAGGGTCTACCGGTTGTTGCTTCCCCGCAGCCCCCGTGGGCATGACAAGGTAAATTCTGCACTTACCTTGTTATGGCTAAACGCAATCTGTATACAAAACCCTCTGACTCTAGGCAGTGGAGAGACCTCGAGGTTCTAACTTCCGAAGAGATGGCAGGTTCTTGGGTACAGGAGCGTACCTAGTCCTAGTGTGGACCATCTTAAGGAAGCCAAGAATACTTGGTTGTCTGCATGCTGGTAGAATCAGGGGGGGGGTTCCTTGTCCGTTCCCTCTGGTGTGGTTGAAAGAAGATGAAGTAAAACATACCCTCCTGCCAACCAGAGGGCTGTAGAGGTTTCGTTATAAGAAGGAGGGTTAATACTTATGGGCGTCCCAGGCCTGGGTAGTAATCTGATCCTAGAATACCTCAAGGGTGTGCAGGTCGCGCTCCGCGGGGGCAGGAACGGCTTCGACTGGCTAGTCGCCAGCAGCAGCCAGGCCTGGATCCGCCCTCCACCAGACGGCACGCGTCTCCAGCCCCGCCGTCTCCGGTTGCTGAAGCTGTGGGAGGAGGCCTCCAACATCCTGGGCCTCAATCACCGGGCGGTCCCCACATCTCAGCTGCTGGACCTCCCCATCATCGGCGGCTGCCTGTTCCTTCGCCCTCCCGACCTCCTGGTCCCCGCCCGCTGGCGCGGAGCCCGAGTCCGGGACCTTCTCGTGGCCGAGGACCATCCCATCGCCCGCCCTACGCGCTCCGCCCTGGCTGACGCCGCGGCCCTGAGCGCCTTTTGCCGGAAGCTAACCGCCGAGAACGCCGAGGGCTTCCGGGAGTCTCCTTCCTTAGCTGCGGCTGTGGTGCTGCGCGGGACGGCCACGCCGTTCCTCAACGGCCTCACGACCCGCTCGGCCCGATGGGCCCTGGTTCGTCCGCGTCTCGCGGCCACGCCGATCTCCCGATTCCTGGCGAGATGGGGGCCCACCATCAGTCCACCACCATCCAGGATCGACTGGGCCTCGATGCGGCCCTGCGCCTTCTCGGGCCATGAGGCCGACGCAGCCTTCAAGTTGGCCCTCCACGCTCTGCCCCACCCTGCCCATCCTGCCTCGGCCGGCCCCTCGTGTCCTGCCTGCGGGTCCGTCGACCGCTCCCTCGGCCACCGCTACTGGAGCTGCTCTTCCATCAGGCCCCTCATCAGAGAGGCCTTCAACATCATCGGGCGGCCCCCTGACCTGCTTGCCTGGATCTTCGGCGGGTCCGGCCTTGAGGACGACGCCCTGACCATCCTGGCGTCGGCAAAGCTGCGCGTTTATCGCCACTTTGTCCAGGTTGGGCTCGGTGGAGTGGAGGACCCGCTCATCGCCTGGACGAGGACCCTCGTGCGCAGGGGATGCCTTCTTCCTTCATCCTCCATCATCACTTTGTAAAAAATTATGTATTATATTTTTCATTCCTGTTTATATTTCTCTTATTCTCTCTCGCTGAATTGTAAAATTGTCTAGATGACAATACTATTCGTTACAATTATAAATTGGCGCCATGGATGTCACTCTTGTGAAACGTCCCGTTCCAAACTGTGAGTTTTTAAAATGTTTTAATTAAAATAATTTTCATATATTAACTTTATGAACGGAAAAATATGTCCAGGGTAGCCTAGTGGTCATGGCATCTGCCCGGTAAGCGGAAGGTCGTGGGTTCGATTCCCATCCCTTGACACTTTTTTTATTTTATCCATTCTGACCAAAATCTATCCGTGAACTTCACACAGACAGAATAAGGCAATTATATAAGTAGATTATAAAGATAGAAGCTTCTCTATATAAATAACTAAAATAAGCCGAAATAGCTCAGTTGGGAGAGCGTTAGACTGAAGATCTAAAGGACCCTGGTTCGATCCCGGGTTTCGGCATCTTTTTTTAATTTTTACTTACCATAACTTGACACGTGACCAAAATCTATCCGTGAACTTCACACAGTGAACTTCACACAGACAGAATAAGGCAATTATATAAGTAGAAGATAATAATAATAATTATTATTATTATCATTAGATAATGATAATGATCATAATGATGATGTAGGCGTTGATGACCAAAATCTATCCGTGAACTTCAGACAGTGAACTTCACACAGACAGAATAAGGCAATTATATAAGTAGACTAGACGTTTACCCGATTAAATGTTTTATTCAAACACTATTCGTTACAATTATAAATTGGCGCCGTGGATGTCACTCTTGTGAAACGTCCCGCTCCAAACTTTACAGTCAGATTAGTTACGATATAAATCTTCAAATCGAGCGAGCGTCTATAAATATTTCGATTTAAATCAAGTATTCTAATTAGTAAGCGAACTATTATTAATAAAATTTTGAAAATATTTCGATTTTAAACGTATTTATAACCTTGATAGAGGGCGCTGTTCGTGAGCTAAGTAGAATAATTTGAATATATAGTTTTAATATTTAATTTAAATATAATTTAAAATAACCTATCGTTGTCCTAGGTAGCCTAGTGGTCATGGCATCTGCCCGGTAAGCGGAAGGTCGTGGGTTCGATTCCCATCCCTTGACACTTTTTTATTTTATCCATTCTGACCAAAATCTATCCGTGAACTTCACACAGTGAACTTCACACAGACAGAATAAGGCAATTATATAAGTAGATAAATAAATAATTATCATTAGATAATGATAATGATCATAATGATGATGCGCGCGTTGATGACCAAAATCTATCCGTGAACTTCACACAGTGAAGTTTTGATTTAGCCCAGACAAGAAAAAAACCTCCGATTATACAGTCGGACCGACAAACATAGTCAGATGACAAACAGTTCCCCTCTGGCTCTGAAATAGATTTGACCCTTTTCGACCTGAACCGGCCTCTCTCTCTCTGAGGCGACATTCAACATGCCTCGTCCCTTTGTGCTATCTCTCTGACGCCTGAAACCACTCTGACAATTGTGGTCACCACGACTGCATCTAACATGCCTACCACGACAATCAGGAGACAGAAAAACATACCATACATATATATTAGAAAAACAAGGTAATAATATTGGATTTGATCTTATTATTTTGTGATTCTTTATTCACTTTAAGTACTCATTTTTATTAACCTTAAGTTTT